TATGACTATTCTGGCTTGTTGGAAATAGGCACAATGTCAGAAATTATAAAACAGAAGGCCCACATGCCTGATACAAATGGAGGGAAAAACAACACATAACATATGAAATTATTTTTTCGTCACAAGCATGTCTGCTATTCAGTTTGTGATTTCTTTTCTTCATATCTTCTAAGCAATTAAAAAGCTTATCTTTCTGCAAATTCCTCTGAGGGCCTCTTCCTACCACATGAATTTCAATCTATCTTTGATAATGCCAAACATTCTGCTCTCCCACTGACACCTTCAGCAGAAATGAACATTACACACAAATCACAGCCCTTACAATCAACTTTGTTCATAGAAAGGTGACCTTGACCCTGAACCCTAACTCCCATCCTGCCTTGCGCCACCATACCTGTTGCTTACCTGAGCTGACGGTTCAGGAGCAGAGGAGTGTGTGTGAATGTCCCAAGACACTGCCTGGTCAAAAGTGTGTAATTTCTATTTTACCAGAATAAGTAGTGCCTGCCCCTCCTCTTTGTTTGGGGTATAAACTTAGGTGTGTGCAGCATGTCCAGTGTGACGCGTTTACGTATTTGAAGGAGACTAGTGACAATGTTATTCCATAAACATCAGCGTGTGTGCATGGGCATGATGGAGTAAGCCTTGTGTAATTTGCCTCAGAGTGGCCATTTACAGTTAATACACTGTGCGCTTACTGCTCTTAATCTTACACTGAGAAACAAATTGTTCATATTAATATTTTAATGTTTAACTCGCTTTACACTGCCTGTGATTAACTGCTTTGGCACACCAGGGACAGTTATTAAAGCCATTACACTGTGTCTGAACAATATATTAAAGTAGAAAAATCAGAGGAGCGGAAAAGCTTTGCAAAAAAAAAGAAGATATTCAATTTTTCTTCTTTATTTCAAGTGTATTCTGAAGTTTTAGATGAGGCGAAGACAGGAAGAGGGTGAGTGTGTTGTACATTATTTCTGCCCTTCTCCCATTGACTCCTTTGTTGTCTCTTTGCTGTCTGTGGCTCTGTCAGGTATCCAGGTATCTCCCAGTGCTCCTCACTCTGTGGAATAGATTGCACTGTGTTGGTCTTACGGTTGCCAGGCACTTTTTTACTAACCCTGGGCAGGAGGGAGGGATTATCATTTAGCTTGACTCAGGATTGATTCAGACTCATTAAGTCCTTTGAAAGTGACCCTTTTTTTTAAATTGGAGAATCAATTAATTTTTACTGTAATAACCACACAGTAAGCCGTAACAGCACGGCTCCATTCATCCCACACTGTGCGTTGGTGCCGATTTGTTGGTGTCACCCCTACATATAAAATGCATGTATGCAGTACTGTGTGAGTGCATTCATGTGTCACAGTAGTGATCTGTGACTATTTATACCTTCTCCTGTAACACGCTGACAAAGCCGAGGCATGCATCAGCCTCTCAACAAATGATAATACAGCAAGGACACAGGAGATACAGAATGACAGAGGCACACACAGAGAGTTTTGAGATGTGTGTGGTCAAGTCTGTGTGTGTGTCTAAGTGATAATACAACAATTTTGGCAATTTGACAGCAGATAGAGCAGCAACTGGTGATGACAACGCAGAGAGAGGGAGAGCACAGAGATAAGATTTGCAGTGGCTTATTAACTCCCAATCAAATTGTTCACATTAACTTGCACTGCAGGGATTACTTAAAATGATTGTATGGCTTTAATGTGGCCACACTGTATCTGTGTGTTGTTTCTGGTGTCCGTCTGTATAAAGCACCAGATGCCTATAACATTGTTATGTAAGGTTAAATGAAGGTCGCTGTGCTCCATGTCAATGGCATGTCACTGATAGAATTGGAGGAGGTAGAGAAAACATAGAGAGGATACTCAGTGAGGTTTGTCTTTCAGTATTTGTGGAATATAGTTTTTTTTCCTCAGCATCACATCATCCCCATCATCACAACATCATTAGGCACAATGCAACATTAATGTGTAAACATATATGAAATTACCCTGGCTTATTACATAGTGCTCTTCCTTGCCACTTAAGGAGACACTAACAGTGGTATTAAAAGCCCACTGACCTGTCTTCCATAAAAATTGAAATGTAAAAGTAATACTACTAGATATGAAAGATCAACATTCAACAATTCAATTACAACCAATGTAAGATGCTTCTAAATATTATTAGCTTTTTTAAATAAATACAAAGATCACATTTTCACAGCAGACTAGCTTTTTGATAACACCTCAAGAGATAAAACAAAAACCTAAGTGGGTGAAAATGCCTGCATTTTGGCTGTTATTTACTCAAGTGCAATCTTGCTCTTCTCCCTTTTCTACTAAAGTAAAAGATAATTCAAACTCGCAGAGAAACAAATATGGCAGACAAAGATCAGTTTGACAGAGAGGACCAGATCGACGCTGCAGGGCATAAAACCAGACCTCTGATGTTAATCTAGTATCGCCTCAATTGTCCTCCATGAATGTGGGAAAAACTAGAGGTTAGTTGTAGGTCAGTTAAAAAGACTCTAAAGCCTATCGTAATGTGATCAACTTGTTACTATTTAACTTTAATTGCAATAGTCTAACCAATGTTTCCTCAGGTATTAATGGGTGTAGCAAGCTAAACTGATTCATTGTTAGGTAAAGGTCACATGCTGAACAATGTAGGTTATCAGTGGACACACACACACACACACACACACACACACACACTCAGACATGTCTCTGTTATGGTGGTATTCAGGGTATTTGTCCATAAACAGAACAACTAAAGGTCTAAGAACAGGTTAGCTCACATAGCAGAGTGAGATCCAGTCAGTCCTCTGATAAGAGACATAGTCATATTTGGAAACTCTTACAAACATAGTGGTGGGTCCTCACATGACAAGAGTGTTGTGTGTTTAGTCAGTGTTACAAGATATAGGACCCTTTCCCCCTTTCAGAGCCAAGAAATGACAAACAAGATGAATGGACGAACATCCTGGGTGAATACACCACACTGTTGTCCCATTTAATCTTTTGTCGCGCAAACACCCAATGTAGCCAATCATGTTACACTCTGTAAGACTTATATCTTCAGCTGTGGAGAAAATGAAGAAATCAGACATTATGACAGGAATGTATCATGAGTGAACCGAGGTGTAGCTGAGCAGCTGAGTCAACACGTTGCTTCATTCTGCCTCTGTTGTATCAACTAAAAGACGAGGCAGAATTCTCTCCTGCTGATTGCCCAGTGTGTGTGTGTGTGTGTGTGTGTGTGGCAGCCTATCCATGCTGCTCTATCAGGTGTCACAACACACGGTGAGGGGAATGAAGACCACAGTCACAAGCAGTCAAATACCAGTTGTCATATTCAGTTGATAAGTACTGAATTAATTGAATTCTAAAGTAAAGTAGCGATTGTGTGTTTCTTTTCAACGGGCATGTGAGCAGTTGTGTAGACTGTTTGACTTTGGGTCATAAAAAGCATCTGTGAATTTGGTAACACAATGGGGGAGGTGCCATAGATTCAAATGAATGGTAAAGTGTCACATGGACAAATATGCAGGGCTCTGGAAGCAAGGACAAACGGTGGAAAAAGGTAATTTCCCCCCACTTACATTTTAATTGCATGTTTAAGTGCCTGCAGTTGCTACTAACTCTGTTGTTTCTGTTACTTTGTGCCATATACCACCAATAAAACAACATAAAGTCAGAAGGACAAAGGACAGCAACACCAAAAGACGGTGGAATACTTGTTCCTGACGCAAGCAGACATGCAACCAGTTCACCACTAGGGGGAAGCAACAGACATATCAAAGCTGTGATCACGTGGTCACAATTAGCTTTTAGCTTCCCCTCCATATGATGCTGCACATTACAATAAATGCAGCTAGTCTCCCTAACAAGTGCCCATGCAAAAAACCAAACCATTTATGATTAAGAAGTTTCAGTGAAAACTCATCATGTGGCAGCACAAGTTGGTGATGTAGAGATGATGAGATACAGAAATAAACATCCAAGTGTTGAATTAAAACCAGATTTATCAGTCTATATGTCTGATGAAAAGAATTGCAATTGTTGCCGTGTGAGAGTGTTTCTAACATTGTCAACTTTAACATTTGCAACTTTAAGTGACAGCTCATCCCATAATCAAAAATGTATATATTTTTTCTCTCACTTGTAGTGCTATTTATCAGTCTAAATTGTTTTGGTGTGAGTTGACAAATGTTGGAGATATTGGCTGTGGAGATGTCTGCCTTCTCTCAGATACTATGAAACCACTCGGCTTGTGCTGAAAGTGAAAAAAAAAAAGAAAAAAAGAACATTCAACGAGAAACAAAACCTTCTTGTGAGCAGTATCTATTATCTTTCTACTGAACTGCACCCTGCCAACTGTATCATCATGCAAAAGGAAGTGCACATCTACTCATGGAGAGGCTCATGCTTGTGACAGCATGTGATGTAATGGTGTGTTTCATTTGTGCTGGAAAGTCAGCATTTCCGAGTTCCCAGTTGGAAATTTCAACTGGAACACCCCCTGGATTTGGATTTCCAACTTGAAAAGTCAGAAGAGGCAGATATCTTTACAGCCAATATCTCCAACAGTCGACATCTAGATTGATATAGCACTAAAAGTAAGAGGGATAATAGGTCTTTTGTGGTGAGCTGCCCTTTTAAAGCTCTGCTTGATTTTATCATGTCAGTGCAGATATGACGAGCCTTTGAGGGATGACAGAACTTTTTGGGTCTTGTAGGTTTTCATGGGCCTGAATTCAACAAAAAAGTGCAAAATTTTGAAGTATGTATCTATGTGCTGACAGGATGGTACAGTGTATTGATGATGGTGTATATGGCATTTTACCCTCTCTTTAACATTCTGTCAAGTAGGATTGTAGGGATCCAAACAGCACATCACAGGGCGAGTCAAGCACACGAGAGGAACTGAACTTTGTTAGCTGTATGTACTTTCTGTGCTGACGGGTGATAGAATCAGAACTATCAGAAATTATAAGCTAGTTTTTTGTTTTGTCATAATATCATTTTTATTATTGATTTTTACAAGCTCTGATTGGCAAGTGCATCAGTGTCAAATCCAAAAAGAAAATGAGAGCAAATAATGAACAAGAGCATATTACAGTAATCATGAAAATATCTGAAGAAATGAAAAGACTGCTCAAACAACAAACATCAGCAACAGCATATAAACAAATACATCCCTGAGTTTACCTTTGGTAACTTTTGTTAACTACAAGCAACTGGACCTTCATGTAAAGACTGTGTAACCATAAAAGCATCAGAACAATTTACTTCAGAATGCAGCATCACATCTAACCTACTTCACTGACTAATTATAAAGGAATAACATTTTCTTCATTAGAGTTTTAACTTAATAATATCATATAAAAGTGCAACATGTTGTGACAGAAACAGGAAGTATTGTTTAAGCGTTTTACAAATTGTTATTTCTCTCAGTAGTGTTGCAACAGATAACGAGCATGTTACCTGTGCAGTGAGTGCTTCCCTCAAGTGGACAAATCACAAAAGTGCAGCTGACTGATCTGGTATTACAAACACAGCGTGGACCCCCACCAATGAGTATTTTGCCTTCTTTAGTTTACTGGAAATTGGAATAAAAATAAAACATATGTACATACAATGCAAAGAGCAGCTACTCCTCTATTCCTCATTTAACCAATGCCTGTCTGCAGGTGAGCATTTACTCAGCACTTTAAGAACCACAGTGACCACTTCCTGCTGCGGTCAGTTGCTTAATCAGCAGGAAACCCTTTGTAAATATTTCATTACTACTGAATGTTTAAACAATGAATTCAAATTTAAATTTAAATTTCAAATTTAGGATTTAGATTGCTCTTCAGATCTTTGCTTTTAAACACTACATGCAGTCTGACTATGGTGTCCTATTGTTTTATCCACATTAGAGGACACAACAACAAATTTTACATATGATTTATACCATAAATGCAGTACACATTGATGTACGACAGTGCACCAAGTGGGGAGAGCAATTTGGCATAATTATTTTTTGATGTGTTGAGTAAAGTGCTTAATAGTATATTATACACTGGTAAGTGTGCAGAGTCCAATTATTAAGGGTAGAACATGGAAGTGAAGATATTAGTGGTCAGTGGGTGGGCTAAGTCCAGCTCTCACTTCACTTAGTTTCGTCAAAAGATTAACTGATAATTTCTGTTTCTATTCTCTGTTGGTTAGCAGTACAAAGCAACATCAAGCAACAAAACAGTCCTGCTTCACTTTCTGTCTCTGTTTACTCCTTTGTTACTATTGTGGTCATGTCATCCTCTATTTCTTTTCCTCCTGAAAGCACAAAGACATCACACATTATCAGTTTGCAATTTGTAGTCAATGCATTCACCAGTAAACTCAGGCAGTGCATACTTACTGAAGCACTTCCGGAGATTCTCAGATCTCAGCAGCGCAGCATACAATAAACCAAACACCAACAGGATGCCGAAGAAGCCCCCAATGGCACAGCCGATGAGAGTGGCATAGCTGGCGCCGTTATCTAGGAGCAGAGATAACAGTGCAGAGTGAGGAAGGAGAATTTACCACAGAAGTTTAAGTGTAAGAATGACTGAATGGATTGACAAGCTTGTGCAAAATTTAATCAAAGTTAGAAACTGTGAGTGTTTCTTGGAGACCACTTAAGGAGACACTAACAGCGGTAGGGGATAGTCTGGGTTTATTTGTAATTCCACGATTTATCCTGATTTGTAAGTGAGAACATGACTGTAAGCCTCTATCAGCATTTTTCCATGTAGTAAAACATGTAGACAAGTATATTAAAGGAATAACATGTTGTTATAAACATGTTGATAAAACAATAGCTATTGAATTGAAATAGAAGAGTCTTCACCATAGACATGTAGGACGGCAACAACTGCACTGGGATTCCTTGACTGCTGACATACAACTTTTGTGCCATTGTCGGAGAAAGAAGTTCCCTTGAGGGTCCAAATAGCCAATAACTCTCCATTCTTCACATCACAACTTCCATAGAGAGCCTGAGGAGAGAGACAGGTGACAGAGACAGGAAGGAAGAGGGGTTCAGATGAGGGAACAGGAAAGAATAAGAGATTTAAATGAATATAAACATGGTGTGAGCTGGGAAATGCTCAGACCCCTCTTGAGAGACAAAGATTTGACTCTTAAAGCAACTACAAAGAGTTTTTAACAAGTTTAAAGAAGAGGAAGATATTTTCTTGTCATCTTTGACGTTATGTTTTGTGGTATTGGCTGATACTCGAGCAGGATCAGCAAAGAGAAAAATAAAAGAATTAACCAAAGAACAAAAAAAAAAGCTTAAAGGAACAGTGATAGAGCACAGGCGAAACAGCAGATTTGAAAAGATTCATATCCCATCCTGTTTTGTCTGTTTTATTCATGAAATCCACTGGCAGATGTGGTTTTACATCAAATTATGAATTCATGTTGCTTGATAAAACAAAGCTGGCTAATGCTTTGGCTAACATTAGTTTAATGCAGCTATAGGTAGCTGCATTTGTCGAGTAAATCAAGCACCCCAAGGCTTTCTGTGATAATGAGCAGGCTGATCAGCATGCATAAAGATTGTATGAAGCTGAAAGGTAGATAATAGTAAGCTGCATCTTTAGCCAGATCAAGATATTTACAACATGGTGCTACCACTTTTGTCCACAGGGGGTGCCAAAATCAACACAAAATAAAAGTCCCTTGTAGTTGTTTTAACAGAACATGTTAAACAACATTAATAACTTTTGAAATCTTACAGTGAGACAGTGCTGCTGAGGGGAAGGGGAGTGGAAAGTGAGGATGACATGAGAGTAAATACAGAGTCAGACGGCGACCACCTCACCTGGGGGATGTCTTCCATGTGGCCCGAGGGGCATCTGAGGGTGTAGTTGTGGTGACTCCCGTAGAAGGTGAATGTGACATTTGAAGAAGCTCTGGGCACTCCACAGAGAAACACTGCAGGTTCTCCCACAGCCACTTTGATGTTACGTGGGCGTGTGCGGTAACTGAGAACTGCAGGGTTCGGTGCTGAAGTGCTGGTGGTGATAGAGGTGGTGATAGAGGTGGTGGAGGTGGTGGTGGTACTGGTAGTGTTTTGAGCTTAAACAGGGATGACAATGTGAGTGTTTATGAGAGGGAAATAAGGAGGACAGAGTATAAAGTTGAAATGATCGGATAAAATCACTAATAATTGTAAAAATTTAACAATTTGCGATGTCACAGTTGCCCTCAGTCTCCCCTACAGCTAAGTCACTTCAGTCTGTTAAAATCTTAAACCTGTTCGCATCAGAAAGCATTGAAATACAATTTGTTTAGACTGCTATGGATCTTTTTGTTGATACTACATGAGCAGGCATGATGGGAAATGTAGGAAACCAGTTATGGAACCAAACCCCCACAAGAAATGTACAGTGCAACAGCAACCAAACTGATCACACAGCATGGAGTCTGATTTGGCACAATGTACTGTGCACATCATCACTGAGGTATTTGTTGAGATGTTGTTCTATAAAAAAACAAATATCCACCCATCTTTGTTGTGTGCTGTTTACAGGAAGTGAATGCTGCCTGCATCTAACGTAAGCATACCTGAAACAAAATACCTTCACCGCCCTCATAAACATTTGAATATTCTAATGACTCGAAACGTGTTTCCTTGGAAGATTTTCTTTCTTTCAGATTGTAAAACATTAACCAGGGTGAGGTCTGTGGATGTTTTCATTTTAGAATGTATTGAATTGTATGTGAGTGAGAACTGGACACTTTAACTACGACTTAAATCAATCTTACACTTTGAAACCCTGCAGGTGGTTAGTTACCTGAGGAGGGTGCGGTGATTTGGAGCACAGCCAGCAGCAACAAGAAATTTTGAGAAACCTTCTTCTGCTTTCTCATCTCTCCTTTTCTCTTCTGCTCCATTGTTTTCTTCACTCAGTCTTTCTTATTCCATACACTAATCTGCAAATGTTTGAACAATGCAACTTCACTTTTCATTCAACAATAAAGGAATACGTTATACATGTAGTATTACAAGAGTCCTTGTGTTTTCCTTCATGTTAAATGTGATGTGAATGAATGTAAAAGATTTATGGTGATCACTATAACCTCAAGGCAGAAAATCAGTCAAATGGTATTTTGCACTATAATGATTTTAGATACAGATACAATGTATAACTACTATATATTTTAGGACCCATCAAACTGATTTGAGAAAGAGCTATAGAAATATTTTAAACCAGGAATTTTATCATTAGTTACATGAGATATTTGGCCTGAGCTATGGTTTGATCCCTTTTTAGCATTTATTAAGGAATTCAGAAACTCTAACTTAATTTTTAGAAACCTCTACTGATTCAAAGCATCAACCTTGTGATTTAGGAATAAATAACGATGACATTTATAGATGCAGACAAATTAAAAATGTTGAATTTTATGTTTCAAAGCAGCTGTCTTATAAACACTTGCCATTGTGTTGACTGAGGTTTTGTTATCCGCAGTTATTAGTTTTGCACATGCAGTTATTTAAATCACTTTTATACATCTGTCACCCATAATCATGATTCTTTTGTCCCCAAATCTGAAAAGGTTTTTTGTAAATATGAGAAATAAAGTGAAACATAAAAAAAGCTTCTTGAAATGAAAAGAAAGACTAGGAGATTATTAACACTGACCGCAAAATGAACTGGAAATTCCCCAGCAGGCAGCTTCCTTATTTCAAGATTTTCACGCAGCTCTTTTCAAAATAAATCATGCTTATAGTTGAAATTAACTTCTCAGATGACACCTCCTCTAAACTGTAAACTCTGACATATATCTACTGCCTGTGTCTCAGTAAACACTGACCAGAACTGTAGCCTACGTGTCCCCACACACAATGCTGACTCTCTCTTCACCTCTCTCTGTCTCACTCCATCCTCCCACTCTAACCAGGTAGGAAGTTGAGACCGACAAGGCACCTGAAGGAACATGGACATGTTCCTGATTTACAAGATGGATCTATAGAAGCAAACTGGTTGAGCAGGCCTGCCAGGCCTGAGCCAATAATAGCTGCTGGGAGTAACATCAGACCTAATAATGCAAGACTTTTCAGCTTCCTCATTTACTTTATCTCTCTCTGTCTCACACACACAAACACCCTTACTTTTTTGTCTTTTACAGAAAGAGCTTAGAATATTTGGGTAACACAATTTTATTTTCAAATAAGTTCCTCCTGTCTGAAGGAAATGCAGGTTAACCGGCTGCCATCACAGCAGATACTGAATCACTTTTCACCACCTGCTTAAACTTGTTCTCATTGGAATGCCATTTACCATTTAATTGTAGCGTGGTGTTTATTATTAGACATTGAGACAATAGCTTCTGTAAACCATTTGCCAAGCTTCACCAGAGATGGCATCCATCTGGAGAGCTCTGCTGGTGTTACTTTGCAATGAATGTAGTTTTAATTTTTAGGTTATAACCATATACATTGGAAATTCATATTGTAGTATTTGTAGTATTGTAGAATTGTAGTATTTATATTGTAATATGTATATTTCTCTGGCATACTAATTTTCATATTTATGTCCTTTTGTTGCCGGTAATCTTTGTGATTATTTTGTAGGGATGCACCAAAATGAAAATTTGTGGCAGAAGCTGAAGCCGAATAATATTAAACGCTTGGCCGAATACCGAGTACCGAATACCGAATATTGTTGTTTAGTTTTTCATTAGTTTTTGCAGATGAACCACCTCCAGATTAGTGTTGTCACGGTACCAAAATTGGGACCCACTGTACGATACCAGTGAAAATATCATGGTTCTGAGTAGTATCACGATACCACAGCGAAAATGAGGCAGATGTGCCTTTTGTCATTTATAAAAAGATAAATCACTTTTCTATAATACATCAATGATATTTCAATGGAATAAATTAATTACTGACTTATTCATACTTCAAAAACAGCATAAATAAGTGATGAACATAGGGGGGGGATCAAAATAAAAAAAAATAAATAAAAAATAAGAATCAACCAGCCTCCCTCCTCCCCTGACAAGTCCCTTCATAAGTAATGAACAGTCCCTAAAGTGCGGTGAGGTTTGTGGGCCGTGAACGGCTCGTTTCTCCTCAGACACATCACATACCTGTGTTCGGCTGGCTCGGCTGTTCAGGTACTTTTGGGCAGTCATGACACCAAGAAGAGGATATTATTGGAGCCGACTTCTCCGTCGCGGTAAGCCTATGGCCGCCGTATTTGACAGGAATACATTACTGTCTGTGTCTGTGACCCCCGTTCAACCCACAATCGGTGGGATTCGCCTTTCTGCTGGTGGTTGAAATCTGTAGGCTGCTTTGCTCGCTCAAAACTATTTTTAGTTGCAAATGCGAGTGCCGTGACGGGCAGTTCGCCACACTGCCGACATTTTATTCCGCCCGTCAAGGCACGCTGTTTGATTGCGTTATCAAAACACGCCACTATTATTCGGCCTTGCTTTTAACTTATTCCACCAAATACCGAATGTGTGTGTTTTTTTGCAATATTCGGCCGAATATATTCGGTTACCTAATATTCGGTGCGTCCCTATTATTTTGTTTATTTAAGTAATATTGCCATTATTACTATTTGGCTGGTCATCAGTCACTTGAATGTGCTGTCATCCATCATTGTGGCTTCTGACAGCTGTTAATGAGCTGTCAGTCAGCTGTCATCTGTTTGCGGTTCAGTCGATGTGACATACCGTTTGCCATGCAGAGCGTTAACGGCTTTACTGGCTGTTCTGAGCAGCCAGTAAACCATGCTGACTTACATACTGCAAAATGCAACCGGATGCAGTAGAACAGACAGCCTGGTATTTTATAGCATACTGTGTATTGGTTGCACACTAAATCTTTCTCCTGGCAGACTAAATAGTATAGTGGTATGTGTACTAGAAAGCACAGTAAGAGTCCATGCTAGCTGTTCTGTGAGGCTGAACTTTCATCAGGCACAACGATGCTTTGAGCTAAATGCTACCATCAGCTTTCTAACATGCTCAACGTGCTGATGCGTAGCTGGTTTGTTTAGCAGGTTCACCATCTTAGTTGAGCGTGTTACCATGCTAACTTTTGCTAACTAGCACACAGTACAGCTAATGCTGGTGGGAGGTTAAATACTTTTGCAGATCACAGACAGAAAGTTGGGAGCTCGTTAAAGTTATTAGATTTCATCCTGTAGTAGGACCCTTGAATATATGCAGGAAATTTCACCTTAATGTATCCACCAGTTGTCCAGAGACATTTTGCCGAAAACTACAAAAGGTCACGCTAGACTAAGAGTCAGGGCATCACCGAAGTTATCAGACTGCAACGCGTAGGAGTCATGAATGTCTATACAAACTTGTGCCAGTCCCAACTAGTAGATGTCTATTTCACTGAATATTTGAAAACTGAGTTATTTGGTACGCTCAAGGAAAAGTAAGTGGATCCTCCTCAGGGCATCATGACTAGGCTATATGAGTACAAAATTTCATGGCAATCCATCCAGTAAAGTCTCTGTGATACACAGTTGTAAGCCATATACCCACTAAGAGAGCTCCAGGATTTCCATATATTCACTTAAAAATGCACAAAAAAATATAAACAACATAGTTTTGTGACTGAAATTTCATTTCATCGTTGTTTTTGCAAATTTGTGGTCGAACGATGTGACAGCAAACTGAGCAAATACTGCAGAACATGCAGACAGACTCTCTTGTCTTTCCTCATTCCCACTACGCAGATTTCAGTGCTTAGTGGGTGCATGCATGGTGTGCAGCTGAGCGAGATAGATCAGAGCAGAGAGGAAATTAACAGTTAAGTAGTAAAGTGTTAGTATGTACAGCACAGGCTTCACTTTGTCCAGAAATAAACACTGCAGCTCCTCAAGACCAAGCAAAGTTCCCGTTTCTTGCTACTCAGCTGCTGGGTCAAGTGAAGCTGGTTAGCATCAGCATGCTAGTTACCCAGCTGCCTCATGAAACACAGTACATGGTGACTTTTAGGTTGACCTATCAGTGAGCAATTTGCAGCAATTTTTGCATACCTTCATATTTTTATTTAGAACAAAATTGTAGGAATAATTAAATGTCAGTTTTGCATATTTTTATATGATTTACGATACCTCTTGGTGTCAAGACACAGATATAAGTGTCATTACAAGGACTTCATCTATCCCAGCATATGAAACACATGGTCATATTATTTATTTACGTGACCAGAGCAACATGTCAGAAATAGTTCAATATAATATACACTCGTCATCCTATGCAGCAGATTTCCTTGAAAACAAAAGATAAGCAACATGTCTAGATGCAGAACAATGTGAACATAAAACAGTTTGAGCTGGTAAAGGACTGTGAAAACAGTAGAGGAACAGCTAAGAGTCCAAGGCGTTAAGACACTGTCGGGAAAGAAAACAGAAGAATGTCTGCAACATAAACACCTGAGACAGAGCCAGCCTCTGCTTCCCATAACCTCCTGGTACAGACACAGCACTAAAAATACACTCACAACCAGAACCATGTATGCACACTTCTGGTAACTGTACACCAATAAAACTATCCAGTAGTTTCTGACATATTTCAGTTAGTCTGGATCAAAGACTGGCTGACTGACGTCACAAAAGTGCAAAACAATAGTGAAACAAGCCACCAGACTGAAGTAGTGATAACATCTCAGTGCTGTTAAAGTGTGGGTGTGTTTCAGAGGCAGCCGTTCTCCCTGTTGAAGCAGTAGACTGTAGCTGCCCTTTAAAAGACCTTTGTGTAAAACACCTGCCTTGTTTTTCTAGCTTTTGATGTGATCTAGAAAAAAGAAATAATGATAATAGAATA